AATAGGATTTTCTTTCTGTGACCAAAGTTACCTTTATAGTAAGAGAAGAATAAGAATGAACAATCTTTTTAGTTTTAACTTCACTGACCATTACTATTGACAAAACTCTACGGCACGCTAGACAATCTACTTTTATTTTTTACACCTGTCAACACTGACAATGTTGTAACGTGGCTGTCAAAACGTGATTGAACGTTCAAAATAGAAAATTCTGTGTAATATATTCCATCTCATTCTTTTACACGTTCAATCCTACAGATATATATGTTTGTCTCTTTCTACATAACGCCTCAACTTTTCGTGTTACACTTAATTTTACTCCTCATAAAATTTCCGTACCGGGCCTTATAACTCAAATCGTTTCTTAAGGAGTAAACTCCAAAAATTTTAATTGTCAGTCTAAAACAATACATGACTTAATTATTTAAAAAGAATTGTGGTTTGCCAATACGTAAGCATTTAATATTATTTGTGTCTGACGAATTAACTATATCTTTCTGGACAAGAGAACAGTTGATTATTACGAAAGAAAAATCGATACTGTCGAAATACTAGAGCCTGCTTACTCATAATCAAAGTGAGAAAAAAAAAGTAAAAGTTTAAATTTTACCGCCAAATTACAATAATATCTATAGTCTTGACTATCGCTCTTTCCTCTACGTCATGTGCATAATTTTCACCTGCTGATATATTATGCCCATTTAAAGAAACTTCCTAGTAGGTACTATATCTTTACAAAGTTAAAGGAGGTGAAAGCTACCTATTAATGTCAGAATTTCAGCCACAAAACAAATCAAATCAAACATCATTAATGTATGTCATAATTCACCTTGACAGTACGTTAAAATGGCCTAGAATAAGAATAAATGAGATCAGAAGGTTATATATGTTAAGGTTAAAGATCTATAAAATGCAGATTATTTTACGTTCCGTCGAAGGTTCAGAGATTTTGTCAAAAAATAATAGGCTACTGTGAAAATCTTCACGCACCAAGCAATTTAACATCATGTATTGATTTAGGTACACTTAAAGAAATACATATTAAATGCTAAATGCTTCTAATTTTCCTTTTACTGCCAGTTCTTAAATCAAGGGCGTAGAACGGACGAGAAGAACTGGCAATAAACTCCCGCCACTCTTTTTAATCGCCAAGTTTTTTATTTACACAATGTTTGTAAGGAGCTGCAAACATTACACCATGTTCCACATGAAAACTTAAGTAATTAATAATAAAGAAAAGGGTGCGTGTACTTATGTACGCGCGTAAGAAGTTATACTTCTTTGGCATTATTAAAAATAGTTTTTGATTGCATGCAAATAATTAATTACAATTAAATAATCAAATACTGGAAAAGAGTCATTATAGTCAATAAAGTTCAGTTTACATTTGAAAAGTTAATTAAATAAATATTTATTATTATTCTCTTACATTAAGTGAAACATAAATTCTATTATTATTCGAATGTTGTTTTTAAATTATGTCCAATGCCGTAGCATCTTCCGTGGGCAACTTAATTCTGTTAATTTTGTGTCACGGTGCGCGCGCATCGTAAAATTTCACTCTCATCAATTTTTCATAACGCGCCTAAAAAAGTAAAACTTCACAAATTAAAAACAAAAACTCTATCAGCAGTAGGCAAGTAAAACATTGATTTCTTATTAATTAAAGTAATCTTTACCAAATTATTTAAAACAGCTACTACGCAAATAGTAATTAGTAACAATAGTTGGGAAAAAGAGTTATAATTCTGCAATTTTAACCAGTCTTTAGATGCGAAGAAGTCGTTATTTTTAGATTGTTCTTTACCCTATAAATCAACATTTAAAACGTGCTATTAATAACTCCGGTAACGGATAAACGGCGCGTTTTTTCAATTCCCAAACACGACTAATATTATAATAACCTATATTATTTTTATCTACGAAATATTTGTTTTATAATGAATTATGCATGTTATACCGAACTGCAAGCGCCAAACTTACAAAATAAATAATAGTTTGCCAACATAACCGGTTTTTGTAAACCTTCGTTGTAAATAACAAATTCATAGTATTTTTCCAAGCCTTAAGCCTAAGGCCGTTTCTCCACTGCTCCGGTCCGGCGAACGTTAACCGATCCGATTTAGAAACTCACAACAGTACTTACGTACTTCTCCACTACTCCGGCATCCGGTTTTTAACGATCCGATAACTTGCTAGATCGGAACACGGAGTTTTATCGGTCCAAGTATATCCAAGTATCCAAGAGGTTATAAATTATTATTCACAGGTTTATTTATAGTTTCTTTAATTTGAAAGAATCTGGATAACATGGACCAAACCAAATTATGTTGCTATTTATTTATATTTTTATACCATAGTATTAGTGAACTATTTATTAAGTAGATTATAATAATATTTTAAGATAGACAATTTAAAAAAAGTAATAAACTTGCCAGGGCAATAAAATATTAAGAATTTAGAACGTTTTATTAATAAAATAAAGTATATGGGTTTTAGTTAATACAAGTGTTGCATGATAAATATACAAGTATCGATTATTGTCGGATCGGATATAGTGGAGAAGCGCAATCCGGCTTTCCAATATTTTTCTCATGACTCATTCCGGTATCCGACGCCGGACCGGAGCAGTGGAGAAAGGGCCTTACTCGCTCGTATCCGTTTATATGATCCGGTTTTCCTTGTTAACTTGAACGTCTTATCCTCGCCTAGTGGCCAAGTTCATGAAATAATAGTGGCCGTTGTGCAATAAACTTAATTAATGTTATACATTCTATATGTTGTATTCGCTTTTTGTAGACCCCTTTCAATTCTTTATTGTTAAATCCTGTCTTGGGCAAGTCTAGGTCAGTATGATCTATATAATCTTAATAGAATAGAACATACGCACAATGTTAATACTCGGAACAAACGCAGGCTGCAATTTCCCCGTACTAGACTATCTAAAGTAATTCTTTTTTGGGAAAAGGGATACTCTTCTTTAATAAAAACCCAGAGGCTCTTTTATCTCGCCTTTTAATAAATTTATCAAAATATTAATGAAAAGCTGTGTAAAAAGGCTTACTATATATAAAGTTAACGATTATCTAGTTGATAAAAGGGCCTGGGACTAGTGCTAGACAGGCTACTTCTAATTAATTTGCGATATTTCTTTTAAAATAAGTGATGTTTGATGATTTGCTATTATAAAGAGTACCGAGAGTTTTTTACGCCGGCTTTTCTCTCGGCCTACGCCCTACACCCTCTGTCTTCTTTGCCGATGAGTAGGGATATTTACCGTTTCAAATTTAATGACGTGGAATAAGTGATACCAGCTGTATCTTATGTTCCATAATAAACATATTTATCTCTTTGTTTTATCTCTTCTTTCTTTTCTTTCAATACCCCCTCTGATTTACGCTTATATTTTACAGCTTAGAGGTCAAAAGTATGTCAGTTTGTAGGAAGTAAAACCTGAATATTAATAATAAAATACAGTAGAACCTCCATAAGTCGAACATCAAGGGAGACGCCAAAAAATTCGAGTTATAGAGTTTTCAACTTATGGAGGATTTCGACTTAGGCGGATTTTGATTCGACATAAAGAGTTTGAGGTTTATTCTTATAAATTTTGAGTTCGAGAGGTAAAATAAATAGAAATTCAACTTGCAGAGGTGACAAACATATTTTTATTTATTATAAATCAACGTTATTTCAAATCATTTTAAAATAAAAAATATGGTATTAATAAAAGTCAGTCATTTTTTTTTTGCTTTAGATAATTTGGTTGTTCTCTATCTATAGCATTGTCTAATCTATAAAGAGCAGAAAATTCTTCTTCTTCAGAGTTAGGTACTGGTTTGCTCTATAAAATTACGTAAGGTATTCAATGCGGTTCGCGCCTCTTTGATGGAAACCCATGGAGCGCATGTACTATTCACGTCTACTACTGCTACTGAATCGATAATTTCGTCATCAGATAATGTCCCAGCAGTCATAACTCCATCATCGCACGCACAAAACGTTCCTATGTTCGAGATACAGAGGTCAAATTTAATTTTTCGAGTTATAGAGTGAAAATATGTACCAAAATGGCTTGGAGGGACTCGGTGATTATTTCGATTAACAGAGGGTCAAGATTTCAAGTAATGGAGGTTTTGGTGTTTTAAGGGAAGGGAACAAAACATTTTTTCGAGATTTAGAGGTTTTTGACTTATCGAGGTTCGATTTAACGAGGTTCTACTGTAGGTATTTATTCGACGTAATTAATCAGCCACATAGTGTGAAATAGGCATGTTTAATTGAGTTTTTTTTTTTTTTGGGACTCTTTGTATTGAAGAAGTCACATGGGTCCACCAAGCATCCGCGACTGTACACTGGAATAAGGAAATAATAACAATAGTAAATAATTAAGACAGCACGGTTAAAACGACTTGGCAAAAGATCTCCATGGAGATGCTGAAAATGTCCACCGAGTCTTTTTCATCACAGTTTTATTGTAAATTGATGATATCTATCTCTATTTGTTTCACTGATCTTGATATGCTTAGTTTTCATCTATATTATTTTTATTAGAAAAGTAGCTGTGTACCATCCGAAACACTTAGGTACTAGACTACAAGCCCACGAAAACAAAAATACCTGTGAAATGAACCAACGTGAATAACGCTCAGAAGGCTGTTACTATATAAGAAAATAACTCACGTAATAATAATAATAATTCTCTAATAATAGCGTTATTCAGGTTGGTTCATTTCACAGGTATTTTTTTTTCATGGGCTTGTAGTCTATACCGTTTTGCCCGGTTTCCAAGTAGAATCTATCTGCTTATTTGACTTTTTAACTTCTATTTACAAGAAAATAAATGGATTACTAAGAGTTTTAAATATTAAAACCCAAGGTATCTTTATAGTATTTTGTTTTTATTAATAACTTCTGTATTTTTAACAACAGTTAACAAACATTAGAAACACAAAATAACTGCGTATAACGCTATAAACGTGTTTAATAAAAACATGGTCTTAGAGGCGAATTTTTAGTGCTTCTATATGCAAATCAATTTCGCATATTTGATAGCACGGGGTGGTTGATTTTCTAGAAGCTACGAATATCATTTTGGCGTTCTGTGCGGGCTTCTCGTTCACATCATCGTACACAAAGCCTAAATTGAAAGATAGGCCTGGTGGTACCCTTTTGCAGCGGGATAATGTAAGGTTAATGAACTTTATTTCTTCCAATTCGGGAATCAGTTTGTAAAGTTTTATATAAACTGGCTCGAGAATTAAGTTGCAAAATTTTATGTGGTACGTTGTTATGTTGCCGCGTTTGTACTCCATTCTGTACGGATTGGGGTAAGATATTAGTCGATTTTCGCAAACGTATGAAGCGGATTTCCGCAGAGGGCTTGAGAAATACTTTGATATCTCAATAAATCTCTCGACCTCCGATTTGAACGCATCGGTGGTTTCGTCCCGCTCTTGGTCCTCGATGAAATCATGTTTTGTCTCTTCTTGTACTGTTTTGAGAACTTTATTTATGGAACTTCTATTACCGTTTATTTTGGACAATGATGGAGTGATTGGATTGCGTTTCCGAATCGGCGGCGATTTTATCCTCTGTGTATTCATTGTTTAAACCTTTTAAAAATGGCTTCTAATTCTTGCCGTATTTGACGTATACGCATTAATTAAATTTCTATCTTGATATTAAGGACCTGGTCCATTATTTTTATGACGACGTGTATTATAATTTATTCATTGAAATTTAAAAGCTTATATAAGTGCACTTTAATACATTTCCTTATTGACAGTGACAACTTTGACTAGAATAGATCATGCAAGGATTATAAACAGGGTCCAAATTGTATAGACAAGTTTAGTAAAGCATTTCAACAATTTAAAGTGTAGCAAAGTTTAATAAAATTAAGATAATGGACATAGGAAAACATGGAACAAAACAAGTGAAAAACATTTTTTTTTGTGTTTTTAAGAAAATGTTTCAAAAAGAAAGAGATAATCATCAACGTGCATAAAGTGTAAACTCCATGTAACGTCCCTCGATGTAACGACAAAGTTCCTAAAGCGTCAAAATCACTCGGCTTTGGTTGCTTTAGCCTTCTATACAATGACACACTCTACATAGCATAACCCCCAACCTCAATAACGACAATTAAATAATAAAAAGTACTTTTTAAGTTGCCAAAATTAGATAAAACTGCGGAACTCTGTACGTTCTGTTGTCGCTTTATTGTCCTATCCCGTAATAAACTCAACTTACTCTACTGTCGGCATCATACGACATACATACATTTTTATGTCATTACTAACACGAGTAATAAATTTTTTCTTCTTATACAGATTTTTCTTCTTTCTATTCAACGAAAACTCAAAATATGCACAGTCCATTGAGTGTCGTTTTATAGAGTTTCACTGTAATTAAAAATTATGAATTTAATATGTAAGGGGATAAAGTCACTTAAAAAATTTGGAGTCCATGAAATTCCCTGCCACTAATGGATGCTTTCGTTCGACCTATAATTAAATTAAGAAGTTTAATTAAATAAATAACCTCCTCTTTTTGTGAAGGCGTACAAATGGTAAGATAAGGAATTAAATTAAATTTCATGCCGTCTCGCCGGTCCGGTATTTTAGTGCCTTGATTATTTGTCTTTAAACACACCACACCATAATAAAACGTAAGACATTTCGGAGTTCGTTAAAATTAAAAAAAAATAGTTTACTGGAAATGTGTGCACGAAATGGCGCGGGTGCATGATAATGGATAATGGAAGTCGTAAGGAAAAAAATAGCAACATGGTCAAAACGAATATGTCAACAGTCGTACGTCATTGAAATATTCATTCATAAGAGTTACACAGGCTAATAAAAAAAATGTTTTTATTATTAAACCAAATTTAAAAGCAATTTAAAAAATCATGGTACTTGTTTCATATTGAACACAACCCTAAATTATATAAGTCAAATTTACGTCATAGTCCATAGACCATAAACAATAAGTGAAGATCCTATAAAAAATAAATTTTTAGGAGATCTATTATGAATTTGAGATCTGTGGTCGTGGTACAGATACATTTTGCCGAATTAGAGCGTAAAATTAAAGTTTTGAATTTGCTTTATTTTTTAACATCTACTAAAGAGCATGGAGATTAAATTATTATAGTGGTTAACTCATTAGTTAACTCACAAAAGGCACTGACAATTGACATTCACAATTTTTTTCTGTTGGCAATAAATTAACTAAAAATAGCATTCCTGTAGCTAGCAATACCTGAAGCTGAGTTTCATCATCGGACGTCGAGGCAGAATACGAAATTCCACTCGTATCACCTCGACGTCCGACAACAACTAAGCATTTTTTAAGGCAGCTTTTGCCGCGCACCACCTCTATGTGGAACCAGCTGCCCACCAATGTATTTTTGAACCTTTCGATTTAGGACCCTAAGAAAAGAGCGTACCAATTCTTAAAAGCCTGGCAACGCACTTGCGAGCCCTCTGGGAATATGAATGTCTATGGTATATCACATAGCATCAGGTGAGCCTCCTGCCCGTTTGCCCCCTGTTATATAAAAAAAAAAATGTGCGTGTACTAGGTGTACACACGTAAGAAGTGAAACTTCTTTATGACCTTATTTTTCGAAAAATTATCTACTATATACAACTTTACAGAAATTGGTTAAATAAAGTTAAAGTAGATAAAGTTTAACAAAAGGCTTTTATTATCATAGACATGAATTCAAATAATGCAATTATTACATTTTACCTCATTACTACGAAGATTACCTATTACAGAAGTAAGTAATCCGACTAATTTCAAGGTTTTCTCGCGAGATTTGCCGTCGATATTTTATTGAAAGTTTTGAAATGGCCATTCCATAAAATATCGGATTCAACCTGCGATCGATCAAGCAATTTGTAGTTGGTATTAAAAAAAAGCAACATGGCGCGTAACCGAAAAACGTGACGATTTTTTACATAAATTTCTCTATATCTTATCAGATAATGCTTACAAACCAAAAGGTTTGTAAGCATTATCTTGATATAATATTTCTAGAGCAATAAATTATACGGACAATAAAATAATAAAAACTAGCTTATATCCGCCGTAGGAAACCAATAAAAATAATGTTCTATCCCAAGGTCTTCAATCTTAATAAAAATTAACAAAAATGTACTTTTGCATGTATACATAATGAATGCAATCTAACCGGTTCAAACTTATATAAAGAATAAAATTTGGATTTAGGTATATTGTGTTGCCAATGTTAAATTTTTTTGACGCCAAAGGTTTAAAGAAAAACCGTCTATTCATTGATGTTCCAATATCTAATCTGTTAACCTATATAGTAATAATAAAAGAAAATTGATTAATAGAAAATTTAATTTAAAAAGCTTAGTCTCTGGGGCAGTGTAAAATAATAAACGACTCAAAATATATAAGTCTTTCCTCCAACTTTGATTTTTGTTCCCTTTGGAGTAGAGACTCTCGGGCCGTGGGGTTCAAGTGCACAGGCGCTTATTAAAGATTTACGGTGGCTTCTGGTAGATAGTACCGGACCCCAGAGCCGGTGCTCTCCTCGCTCAACGAATAAGTATCGCAATAAAAGGTCCGTCAAGCACCATTTTTAAATTTGTTATAATTTTCTATATACAATTTTATGCAATTTTATAGAGCAAACCAGTAACTCTGAAGAAGAAGAATTTTCTGCTCTTTATAGATTAGACAATGCTATAGATAGAGAACAACCAAATTATCTAAAGCAAAAAAAAATTACTGACTTTTATTAATGCCATATTTTTTATTTTAAAATGATTTGAAATAATGTTGATTTATAATAAATAAAAATATGTTTGTTACCTCTGCAAGTTGAATTTTTATTTATTTTACCTCTCTAACTCAAAATTTATAAGAATAAACCTCAAACTCTTTATGTCGAATCAAAATCCGCCTAAGTCGAAATCCTCAATAAGTTGAAAACTCTATAACTCGAATTTTTTGGCGTCTCCCTTGATGTTCGACTTATAGAGGTTCTACCTATATTATTATTACTATTTGCGTTAATATTGTACATACTATATTTATGTATTGGAAATAAATACTATAATCTGTCAATTATGCGAGGTATATGCAAGAAACCAGAATGTTCAAATAAATTGAAACATATAAAGCGATTTTGTGACACATACCAAATTATTAGTAGCAGGTTACCCCTGTTGAAGGTTGTCATCAAAAGTGTATAAGAAAAAAAAAGTGATTAATGCAGTTGCGCTAACATTTTGATACAACACATTTGTATACAAGCTTTTAGCATGTACAACGTCTAAGCATATGTTACTTTAAATATAACATCAATTAAAGAAATGGATGTCATTTATATTTTACTAATAATTTGTGTTTAAAAGTAAGAACAATTGTAATGAACTGAATGTAAAACGTTTTATACATATTAGTAAGTAATATAAACTTTTACTAACCAGCCATGGACACGGGGTAAGATTCAGAGTCCAGACTCAGCAGTAAGTCATGCCACGTCTGTGTTGCCAGATGGTCTTGGCGACGTACCCCTACACTAATTTGATTTCCCTCCCGAAATCCCCTAGGATGCCTTCAAATACAAAAAAAAATTACAATTAGTAAGATTAACCACACGGATCCTATTCTTACGATGTGTTCGTACTTCAATTTAGTACCAAAATGATATACAATAGCAAAAAAAACGGTATTTGGCGTGTTCTTGAAATTTCCCCTAAAAAACCCCCAAATATTCTTTCCCCCTATTCTGCCCCTAACCCCCTTGAGAAACCCCTAAATCTAGGGGGAAAACCTCTGATCTGGCAACACTGGAGTCATAGTTCGGGCTTAGTCTCGACTCTGTCACCACGTTATTATACAAGAAACATACTCAATTAACCCCAGGAGATATGCAACTTCTTTAATCCGATTAATAGAAACTGTGCCCAATTTAATAGACATTTAACGAAAAGGTGTGTTATTCAAATTCAAAAAAGCTTAAATTTCTTTATTCAATAACAAGTTACATTATAAAGTTACAAGTTATAAAATGGCAAATTAAAAATATATTATCCACATACATGTGGTATTCTCTCACTCAAAATGAAGTCGTGGTCTGCTTGCACGATTCACGGTGGCTAATCTGCTTAGGCCACAGCTATAACCATCCGAAGCAGGGTGTTCAAACATCCCAACTTCCTTCCTTAGGCTACTATTAAATGTTTTATTAGAAACTTTTTAATATTCCAATTTTTACCTGCACCCGGGACTTAAATCTGAGACTACGTACAGTGAGCATTTTTTTTTTTTTTTAAAGACAATTCACACCAATTGACCTAGTCCCATGCTAAGCTGGTGAAGCTTGTGTTATGGGTACTAGGCAACGGATATACATACATATTATAGATAGATAGACTTAAATACATATTTAAACACCCAAGACCTAAGCACAACACCAAATGCTCATCACATCGATGTTCGTCTCAGCCGGGGATCGAACCCGGGACCCATGGATTCGCAATCAGGTGTACTAACCACTAGACCAATGAGTCGTGTTTAAAAGAATCGAGGAAGAAAATCATGAACCAGAACAAATTGC